TTCATTACTCGGCTAGGTAACATCTTCAGTGCTAGAATAGGATGGGGTTTGCTCTCTGTTTATATATTGTGGCATGCCCTGCCAGTGTTGGTGGGGGTTTCGTTTTGTTCTATTTTTTCCTCTGGTAGTTCCGTGATTAAGGTACTGTTTACTGCTTGTATGTCTGGTGGTACACCTAAACTATGTGACATGTATCAGAACAGCACCCGGAAAAGTAATGGGGGCCGGGCCACTGACTAGTGGCTTGGATTGCTCAGATCCACACATACCATTCTCCTTCCGTAACCTTGAGATGAATTTTTTGGGAGGAATCACCCCAACTTTCTTCTTCTGTGTAGCAATGCTATGGAAAAGGTCTGCTAGACAAGTCAGGAGATTTTCCTTTTTTTTCTGCTGGGCCTTATATGCCAGCACATTTTCCCGAAATGGCCGGCAGAAGTACAGGGCTTGCAGGACGGAATTACAGTAGCACGTGTTGCCAAACTGCAAATAAGCGTACAGATAAGTAAGTAGTGGAGAAATGGGTAATGCAACCATCAATCAATCCAGCTTGCTCTTCATTATCGTACCACCGCCAATTAATTACTCAAGTAATAAATCAATGAATTGAGCTTACAGGCTGTCTTAATTGCCGTTTGATTTGGCAATCAAATGGCAATTAAGTTGCTCTCCTTTTTGATCAGAAGGGTTCCTTAATGAATCGGTAAGTGCCCTTGCTGTGCTTTTAGACCTTCATATTAAGTATAGCATGTTCTGTGCTGAGAATGAGACTTCTATGTACATATCTACATCCTCTATCTCAATTGCACTGAGCTCACATCCACATTCAGTCAAACCCATTTACAATTTTTTAACAGATCCCTGAACTTGCAGGCAGACCCGTCTCATTTTAACCTTCAAACCTGCAAAGTGACCCTTTGCAGAGGGTGATAATCTCCAGAATCATCATTTCCCAACCTGGTGGCTTTCAGTTATGCTGCATGCTGACTCCTATGATCCCCAGCAGCTTGGCTAAAGGATTGCTAGCTAAGGATGTGGGAAACTGACATCTGATGCATCTGCAGGGCACCAAGTCAGGCAAGATAGAACAGAGTTATAATACTTACGTTGACCAGCCCAAAGTAGTGTTCATTAAGTGGAAATTGCTCTGGCCCAATGTCTTTTTCCAGAGCAGAGGCATTGGTGCCCTGGGGAAAAGAAACAGCCAATTATTCTCCTGCAAATTCAAACAGGATTGGAGAGGGACAAATGGGTTCCCAGGAAGGACAGCTTTCTAGCTTCAACAGAAGTTGCCCATCGTGGACCCCACAGGCAATGCTTCAGAGACCTGTGCACGTCCGCACCCTCTCTCTACTCCACTGATGGCACGAGGCTGCTGCAAAGGTTATGAATGCTCTCATCCCCTGACACCCCAGAATACGGCCTTCAAAATAATTTCACCAAGGGTGTTTTTATCCACAGAAAAATGCTAGGAAGAATAAAAAAAATAACCATAAAGCACACAGGGGTGCCAGCGACTGTAACTTAGATGCAGAGTGCAGGATTATTTTTGAAGAATGAAGCTGGAATGGATCACTAAGGAAGGCAGTTTACTTGCCTCCCCCCTCATCAAATTCATTAACCTGGCATCAACCATTTCCCAGAATAAGTACAAATCCAGAATAACATACAAAAATAAACACTCCCCCAGTCTGACTAATGCTATCCAGGTTTATTTAGTTTTGCAATCTTATCTAACTGTTTCCTATCTACTATTTTGTTTGCCTAAGTTGCAGGGGCAGAGAAAGGGGAATGGGATGTTTTTCAGTTGCTTAGATTAAGAGAAAAACTCTGATTTTTTTTGTCCAGTAAGAGAATGCTTTCAGAGAGTTGAGTGGCAGAATGAGAGTGAAACCAGATAATTGCAGAGAGTGGGCAGGCTTTAAAAAATAAAATCAACTGCATGCAGATGGGAGCTCAAAATAAAATTACACGTTTTTTAAAATTTCATCTTGCTGTCAGGAGATATTTGTCAGACCTAGGCTATGCAAGCTTTTATATGTGTCATTCCTTCCAGCCAGGAGCATCTACAAGGTAGGATCAAAAAAGTTAGGATGGTGGCACATTAAAAAACTAGGTGGAGCTTCAGTCGCACTGCTGTGGGCACCATCTTGACTTTCTGCACCTGGTGGACACCCCTGCTTCCAGCCGTTCCAATTGAAAATAAAAGCATTTACTGAGTATCTTCAAGCTGAGCTCCACCTGGCCAACTAGAAACCCCACCTGGCCTCATGTAGAAAGTAAGGAAGATGACCTTGGTGGAATTATGCCAGCTCTGTTGCTGAAGTGGCAAGGGTCAAGACATATTTTAAGTCTACAATAGACAGATAATATTTGGAAGAGGCTCAGACAGACACCTCCTTAATTCACTGAACTATAAGGAGGAGGTACAACATAATCAACTTGCAAGATTCTGTTATTATAGCCATTCTCAGTAAAAGTAGTTTTAGCCTTCCTGTGGAGTTGATTTCTTGGTCTGGTCTACCTAGAAGGGTTGACATACTACAACAGCCTATTGTGGATATTCTCTACAGGCTTGACTCCATATAGAGCTATCATATCTGGGTTGCCATGCTCCACACGACCACTAGATGGCATGAAATGGACACATGAAGCTCTTCTCCCATCTAGTGGTCTTCTGGATTTTTGCAGCCAAGATGTGACAGCCTTAACTTCAAACAATACTAGGTATAATGAGGTTTTTATCGGTAGATTTCACCTCAGCCCTGCCAAAGTGAAAACAGTTTTGTTGCTTTTTGAATGCAAATAAAATAATAATAGTAATAGTAATAGTAGTAATGTAAAATCAGTAGCTAATTCAGCTAGGCTAACTGCCATTGCTAGAAACGTTTGCTGCATTTACTGGAATGATCCACCTTCAAAAGTGCCACAATGCATCTCTATGGCATAATGGCTTCACTGGTATCATTGCTTTCTGAAGTTTTTGGTATGGAGGACATACTCACAACCATCTGTGGACAATATTTAATGGATCTGATGATAGAGCCTAATCTACCAAAACTTGTGTTGAACAACTTAAGTTTTCTGGCAACTCCTCCAGAAGTCTTTATCTACTCTCAGAGCAGAAACTCAACTTAGCAACCTTTTTCTTCCCTTTCTGTCCCATTTATATCATTAGCTAACTTAAACTACACCAAGATCTAAGTCAACTTATCTTCTCGTTTGTTCCTTTGCTTATCATTGCAACCAGTTATCTTTCTGGCAGTGCAGCTATTTCAGCTTGCTATTTCATTCCTTTTTATCACTTGCAGCATTATTCTTTTAAGTGTTCCCTTTCTGGATGCATTTCTCTCTCTCTTCTTTTGAATGCATATACTACACACACACACACACACACACACACACACACACACACATCTCCCAAAGACTTGATTGTTAATTTTTAAGACATATTTTTCACTCTTGCAGCACTATAATTCAGGAGACAGAAGTTTCAAGAAGGAGTTTTGTTCTTGGTTTTGTGGTGTGGTGGCGGTGGTGGTGCAATGAGAAATACCATTTCTTTTTGTTTTCCATTAATACCAAAGAATCACTGCAAACTTTGTTTTTACATACTAGCTTGCAAGATATAAGCAATACAGAATTGGATTCAGGTGAATGAGTTGGCTGATGGAACCAGGCTGGGTTGATTCATCCTTCTTCTGCAGTTAGTGCAGAAATACAGTTGCATGCAAAACTTTAGGCACCCAAGGTAAAACTGTACATAGTCCTCAACTTATGACCACAATTGGGATTGGCATTTCCATTACTAAGCGATGTGGTTGTAAAGCAAGAGGTCACGTGACTGCATCACTTAGCGATGGCAATCCTGACACTCCTCATGGCCATCATCAAGCAAGTTCCACCTGTTGTTAGCCGAGGACCCACCCCACTCCAAGCCATTCTGGAATTGGTCACTCCCAGCCTTGAGCCTCAGTAAGGTAAGGGTCTGCCTCCAACTCCCCCCACCCACCTCTCTCTCCCCCATCTCTGCCCTTCTGGCTGCCCTGCACCCTGCACAGCTCTGGGGCTACTTGGCCCTCTTTCCCCCTTTGCTTGCTCACTCACTCACATGCACCACACCCTGCACCAGCACCCTCCTTCCCCCTTTGCTTGCTGGAGGACTCTCCAGGGGCATTTCCAGCACACGCTCTGCAGCTCACGTCGGAAGCTGCTGGCTGTTCATGAGGCTTTCTCCTTCCTCCTGCAAAGCCCCAGAGCCACACTGCAGCATGAAGGGGGTGCGGTGTGTGTGAGCATAGAGTGCGGTGCACGTGTGAGTGTGTAGGAGGATGCTGGTTTGTGTGCCAGCGAGTGGAGGGAAGGAGGGTGCGGTGGGTACAAGCAAAGGGGGAAGGAGGGAGTGGTGCATGTGTGCAAGCGAAGGGGGAAAGGAGGGCATGATGCACACGAGTGAGCGAAGGAAGGCCAGGGTGGGTGGGGAAGACTTACCTGAGTGACTTGCAACCTCCACTACCAGCTGCCCCATTGACCTTGCTTGTGGGAAGCTGGCAGGGAAGGTTGCAAATGGCGATCATGTGATCGTTGGTACCTGGCAACCGGTCGTAAGTGTGGATGGGTTGCCAGCACCCAGATTGCGATCATGTGACCTCGGGGGCATTGCAATGGCCATAATTTTGGGGACCAGTCATAAGTTCATTTTTTCAGCACTGTCGTAACTTCAAACAGTTGCTGAACAAATGGTCATAACTTGAGCACTACCTGTACATGAAAGAATTCCCTGAATGAACAGAAGCTGAAAAGATTTTTTAGCAAGAGAACAATCCAAAACACACCTCTAAATCAAACATGAAGTACTTAAAGGAAAGAAAAATAAAGCTTTTTAGAATGGCTTTCACAGTTCTCAGATTTGAATATTATTACAAAATTGGTGACAAAGTTCCAAACATGGGACACATGCAACAAGACCTAAGGATATTTCTGAGCTAGAAGAGTTCTGCAAGAAAGAGTGGGAAAAATTCCAGAAAGAAGAACAGAAAGATGCTTAGCTGGCTACATGAAATGTTCAGAAGCTGCTATTTTTGCTGAAGGAGATGTTATAAAATATTGACTGAAAGGGTATCCAAACTTTTGCACCTGCCATGTTCACCGTTTCACTATTTTGAGTATGTAAACAACTGTATATTAATATGTATTCAAATTTACAGAAAGATACTGCTTTTAACTCTGTACTATGTAGAGGTGCATCAGCTTTGTTTCACTTAGGGGTTCATTGAAATATATAATTTGACCATAGGCAACTAAACTTTTAGATGCAACTGTACTTCTTTTTAGTGCTAGTCCCCAGCAGGCTAACAAAAATTGGGAAATTTATTTACATATGGATTATTTAAAATTATGTCCAGAGTAAAATCAATATTCCCATCTTCATCTCCCAAAATTTTTCCTGGGAGTCAATGGATCTAAAAAGAGCCACAAATATTCTCAACCCTTCTTTTCTAATGTATCAAACCTAGATGGTCTTGTCCTTCACATCTTCTCAGTAAAGTCAGAAATAGCACACCATACAAGAGGGAGGCTTACACGTATTACTAAACCACACATTTCTATAGGTCCAACCATTAAACTCTTTCCCCTGCAAAACAAATGGCTAGTGGCTTGCATGTCTGATTTTCCAATTCTGTTGGTTAGTAACGCACAGAATTAATTTTTTCCAAACTTCCCAATCTGAAGAAGACTTTGCCATTTTCAGACTCAGCAGGTATATGTCATTCTTAACACCTTTTTGCCTTTTATACTCAAATATCTCACTCATTCTCTCGTGATGCTAAAACTGCTCTCACAGTTGGAAAAGAAGGGAAAACCCACATCATATTAGAGCAGTGTTTCTCAACCTTGGCAACTTTAAGATGTTTAACTTCAACTCCCAGAATTCCCCAGCCAGCTGGTTGGGAAGTTCTGGGAGTTGAATTCCAGACATCTTAAAGTTGTGAAGGTTGAGAAACACTGTATTAGAACATCTAGGGGAACTGTCATTGCTCTGTACGACTTCATAGTTCCAAAGCTCTTAGCTTTAGATATAGTCAATGGAGCTGGGAACCAACTGAGCTGACATTCAGGAATTGTACAAATGCATACTCAAAATAACCATTTTCAAAACTGATTTTTAACACTGTAGAACACTGCACTACCCAGC